CCTGGCCCCAGGGTCCATAGGCTCAACGTCCTCGCCATGGCTCCATGGTGTTGTGCCCCCCCCATCAAGAACCATCACCAGCTCCGCATTATATAGAGATGAAATGAAAACAAGCTCATTACAGCCTGAGTCTAAACTTGACCTCCTAAGGCTCCACAGTGAAAACACCTTCCCCTCACGAGTCTCTTCCTTGGGCCTTCCTCTGAGAAGCTTCCCCAGCCACCCAGCCACTCTCGACCTACCTCCATCCACCCATTTCCTGCTCCCTAATTTACTTTAACCACCCCTTTCCCCATCCTGGGTGGTGGCGTTCCAGGCCTTTCCTATCTATTATCACGCTTGAGCCTCATGATTTCCTGTGAGGTTGGCCAAGTAGGTGTCATGATCCCACTTTATAGGTGAGATTACTGAGTCCACAGAGACTATGTGATTTAGTCAAGGTCACCTGATGTGTGAGCCAGGCTGGTCTAGAACCTGACTCGTGACTCTGGTCTTGGCTTCTGCGGCCCCTCTCCAACCTCACACCTAGCTTGTCCACCTTCTGTGTGAAGGAAGCCCTTGTTTGCGCTACTGCCCTGCAGCTGCTCCATCTTCATCTGGGACCCCCAACATATCACACAGGGCCTGGCCCAGGGAGGTGCAGGGGAGCTGGGCTGGAATACTCCAAACCTAGGGGCTGGGGCCTGGAACAGAGTGGGGTTTTCTTACCAGAAGGACCGTAACAGCGCTTAGCCCTAGCTAATGGGCCCCAGGGCCCAGGGAACAGTTTTGGGTTGGGAGAATTCCATAAAAAGTTTACGAGCTTCCTAGGGAGCTGGAAGTCATGGAACGCTTAGCCCTAGCTAATGGGCCCCAGGGCCCAGGGAACAGCTTTGGGTTGGGAGAATTCCATAAAAAGTTTACGAGCTTCCTAGGGAGCTGGAAGTCATGGAACTTGGGAGTGGGGCCTTGGGAGGGGCTGAGGGGGTGCCCTCCCACCTGGCCTATCTCCATGTGTCTCTGTCTTTCTGACTCCTGTCTCTGGCTCTCCGTCTCTCTGGGTCTCTCACATCTCTTTGTCTCCCTCTGTCTGTCTCTCTACGTCACTGTATCCCCACACCTCTCCATCTGGCTCCTCCATGTCCCTTATCAGAGGCTGGCCCACACACTTAAGGCACAACAGGCTAAAGGCCACCACCAGCCCTAGAAATTACAGACTTTGGGAGTATTATTGGCAGATCAATAAAAGATGCCTAGTTAAATCTGAAATCCAGATAATCACAGGAGACCCCCCTTATCCACAGTTTCACTCTCTGCAATTTCAGTTACCTGCAGTCTGTAAATATTAAATGAAAAATTCTAGAAATAAACAATTCTAAGTTTTAAATGGCATGCTGTTCAGAGCAGTGTGGTGAAATCTTGCACCATCCGCTGTTTCTTCATCACAAGAGGAGGATGTGTATGGTACAAGAAAATATTTTCAGAGAGAGAGAGCACGCTTACAAAGCTTTTATTACACTATATTGTTATAATTGTTCTCTTTTATGATTAGTTATTGTTGTTAATCTCTTGCTGTGGCTAATTTATAAATCAAACTTTATCGTAGGTATATGTGTGTATATGTGTAGGAAAAAACGTAGTATGTATAGGGTTCGGTACTAGCCGCAGTTTCAGGCATCCGAAGGGTGTCTTGGACCAAATCCTACTGTGCAAGGGTGCTTCAGAAAGTTTGTGGAAAAATAGAATTGAAAGATAATACAAGTCTTTCCACAAACCTAGACTTTGGGAGTATTGTTGGCAGATCAATAAAAGATGCCTAGTTAAATCTGAAATCCAGATAATCACAGGAGCCCCCCCTTATCCACAGTTTCACTCTCTGCAATTTCAGTTACCTGCAGTCTGTAAATATTAAATGAAAAATTCTAGAAATAAACAATTCTACAGACTTTGGGAGTATTATTGGCAGATCAATAAAAGATGCCTAGTTAAATCTGAAATCCAGATAATCACAGGAGACCCCCCTTATCCACAGTTTCACTCTCTGCAATTTCAGTTACCTGCAGTCTGTAAATATTAAATGAAAAATTCTAGAAATAAACAATTCTAAGTTTTAAATGGCATGCTGTTCAGAGCAGTGTGGTGAAATCTTGCACCATCCGCTGTTTCTTCATCACAAGAGGAGGATGTGTATGGTACAAGAAAATATTTTCAGAGAGAGAGAGCACGCTTACAAAGCTTTTATTACACTATATTGTTATAATTGTTCTCTTTTATGATTAGTTATTGTTGTTAATCTCTTGCTGTGGCTAATTTATAAATCAAACTTTATCGTAGGTATATGTGTGTATATGTGTAGGAAAAAACGTAGTATGTATAGGGTTCGGTACTAGCCGCAGTTTCAGGCATCCAAAGGGTGTCTTGGACCAAATCCTACTGTGCGAGGGTGCTTCAGAAAGTTTGTGGAAAAATAGAATTGAAAGATAATACAAGTCTTTCCACAAACTCTTTGAAGTACACATAATAATTTTTAAAATATAAGGATGTCCCAAATATTGCATGGGATATACTTATACTAAAATAATTCTTTGTTGTTTATCTGAAATTCAAGTCCAACTGAGCATTCTGTATTTTTATTTGCTAAATCTGGCAGCCCTGCTTGGGAGGAGAAACAGATGTGCCAGCCCCTCCCACCTGGTGAGGACACCTGGCTGGCCCACGCGCTGGAGTGCGACCCGCCTGATGGACTGGAGCTTGTTTTATTTTCCTTTTTATAAAAAAGCCGCATTAAGAAGTATCAGAATTGGGGCCGGCCCATGGCTCACTCAGGAGAGTGTGGTGCTGACAACACCAAGGCCACAGGTTCGGATCCCTATATAGGGATGGCCGGTTGGCTCACTTGGGTGAGCGTGGTGCTGACAACACCAAGTCAAGGGTTAAGATCCCCTTACTGGTCATCTTTTGGAAAAAAAAGAAAAAAAAAAAAAGAAGTATCAGAATCATGCTGGAGGAGGAGTAAAGAGGTTGCTTTGGGGGAAGTCTGCCTTCCTCCAAAGGGAGACAGAAATGGAAAGGGCCTGGGGTGGGGTTGCCTGCTGTGCAACCTCGGGGGGTCACTTGCCCATCCTGAGCCTCAGTTTCCCTGTGTGTAAATGGGGATAGTAATCCCTTCCTCCTGAGGCTTCGATGAGAATCAGATGAGCCGATGTGTGGAAAGGCTTAGCCAGGCCTGCCATAGTAAGTGGGCAGGGGATGGGGTCCTCGGTATTATGATTATTGTGTTGTTATTACTCCCGGGGACGTGGTGGGCAAGAGTGTGAACTCAGGAACCAGACGGCCTGGGTCTGGATCCCAGCCCTGCCACTTACTAGCTTCATGACCTGGGACAGCTTACTTGACCATGGTTTCCTCATCTGTAAAATGGGACAATAGCGGTACCTACCTCCTAGGTTATGGAGAGGATTACATGACATAATACACATAGAGAAATCCAAGCAGGGCTGGCACATAGCAAGAGCTCAGCACGTGTCGGCTACGGTCATCCCCAGGGGCGTGTGTGCTCTTCTTCCTCCGGGAAGCCTTCTGGGCCCCTCCACCCACAGTAGCCTCTCCCTACATGGTTCTCTCCCTCTCCCCATGGCCCTGAGCCCCATCTGGCTGCCCTGGGCAGTGCTGGTCCTCCTCTGCCTGGCAGGATCTAGGCTCTAGGGCAGTGGGGAGAGCAGTGGGTGTACCTGTCTCAGCCCAGCAGTAACTGCATGCATAGCGGGCACCCCACAATCAGAGGATGGACAGACTGGTTTCCAAGCAGGACTCCCAGACCAGCAGGAACGGGGGAAATGCAGTCTCAGGGCCCGATGACATCACAAGGTTTTAAACCTACAATTGACAACTGGTTGTTTGACCAAATTTGGCCCAGTTTCCCAGGCAACATGCAGTGCTGTGGAAACATGTGGGCTTGGAGTTGGACAGACCTGAGTGCAAACCTGGCTCTCCAATAGAGGCTGTGTGACCTCAGGCTTGTTACTTGTTCTCTCTGAGCCTCAGTTTCTCACCTGTCAAATGGGAATGATTCTGCTCATCTTGCAGACTTGTAAAAGGAGCTAGTAAATGGAAGGAGCCTGGCACACAGTGGGCACTTCAGAAAATTTAATACCTTTCCCTAGGACAGACCCCAAGAATATCTTGTCACCTGCTGTAGAAGATTGAATTATGTCCCTCCAAAACTCACTGAAGCTTGAACTGTGTCCCCCAAGTTTTATGTATTAGAAACTTGGTCCCCACTGTGACTGGTAAGAGGGCGGGAAATCCTATTATGGTAATTGAAAGGTGGAGCCTTGAAGAGGTGATTGGACTGTAGAACTATGCAGTAGTGAATGGATTAAAAATGGGGTTAGAGGCGTGGTTCTGAGGGCTTTAAAAGAAGAGGAGAGTGTGTCTCTCTGCTCTCTGCTTCCACCATGTTGCAATGTGAGACCCCTGGGTCACTGTTGCCACCACCAGATGGACTTTGGAATTCCCAGCCTCAGAAACTGTAAGCAAAAAATTTTATTTTCTCTATAAATCACCCAGTTCCAGGTATTTTGTTATAAGCAACAGAAATGGACTAATATACTCGCTAAGGAGGCCTGGGATGGAACTTGGGGTGAGAACTGCTCTTCTTGCAGCTACAGTCTCAGAACTGCCAGGGGCCCCCTTGCTGGCTGCTGGCTGGTGTTCACTGAGCTCATTGTACCCATGTCTGCCTCGGGGGTTATAAAGCACACACTGGGTTCTCACATCGAGGAGCTTGCGGTTCTTTTGGGAGGTAAAGAAAATCACAAGGGAAATGCTAATGAACGCAGAGGCTTGGAATGGGAGAACGTGTGTACATTTGCGTAGGTTCCAGGCTCGACTCCCAGGAGCATACCGTGAGGATCTGTGAGGCCCGTGGTGGTCAGGGAAGAAGCAGGGCTGAGCCGAATCTCATGCGTCAGAACAAGGGCTGCTTCTGCAGCACTTCCCAGGCTTGCTGTTCTTCCCAGGTCGGTACCTGAGGGCACAGAGATGTTCGAGGTCTATGGGTCCCCTGGCGTGGATGTCTACATCTCTCCCAACGTGGAAAGGAGCCGGGAGCGAGCGGACACCAGGCGGTGGCACTTTGATGAGAGCTCAGAGATCATCGTGGTCATGAACTCCCCTAGCGATGACCTCAACGACAGTCATGTGAGCTGGTCCCTTGGTCTGGGGGTGGGGATGGGGGGTAGCCAGTGATCAACCTCCAGGAGGGCCCAACATCCTCTCTTTCTCCAGAGTGCAGAGTAACATGTGAGTACATGCCTGGCCCTGGAGCCAGACTGCTGGGGTCCGAATCCTGGCTCTGCAACTTATAGGGACAAACTGTGTGTCCTTGGGCAAGTCATATCACCCCTCTGAGCCTCTGTTCACCCATCTTTAAAATGGGGATAAGTGTAACACCTTCCTCCTCGTGTTATTGGGGGGAACACGAGCCAGCATTTGTTCCTTCTCTTGCTGCCCAAGACCCCTTGTGAAGGGAGGAGCTGTTCCAGTTTGGCTGTGTTGGGCCTCAGTTTCCCCATCTGTAGGCCAAGGGTTGATTAGGTGGTCTCTGCCACTATGAATGAAGGAGAGAAAGGAAGGATGAGGGAGGGACACCCTTGCCTGGGGACACCCCCTTCCTAGGTGATATTTTTCCAAGGTGCCTTGCTTTTTCCTAATCCACTCTCTTCCTGACCCATTTTGCGAGGTAGGGGAACATTTAAAACATGGAATAAATGGGTGGCCTTTGAGCTTGGCATAGGTGATGCCTTCTTGAAGGCTGACAGACCAGGACTCAGCTTGTGGGAGTAGTGGGTTCCCACTCCATGACAGGAGCGACGTTTCGGAAACCTGCCCTTTAAGGAGCACAGGCCATATGCCATCCGGCCCTCCCAACAGCCCCAAGAGGCAGGGGACTGATCCCCATGTCACAGGTGGGGCAACTGAGATTCAGAGTAACTGTTACCCACAGCTAATGGGCAAGAGAGCTAGAATTCAGCACAGATCTGCGTGACACCTGGGGACAGGCTCCTGCCATTGCCCTACCTCTGTTCCCACCCACGTATCTGAATTGAGCCTCTCCACTGAGCTCTGTGAGGCCTGTGGGGCAGGACTCAATGAATCCATTTTACAGACAAGGAAACTAGGACCAAGAAGGGACGTGGCTTATCTGAAGTCACGTGATCCAGTGAGTAGCAGAGTGGGGGAGGGTCAGAACAGAGTCCCCAGGGCAGGGCAAGAGGACCAGCCTTGAGGGGCCCCTCCTGGGTGCTCTGCCAACCTGGGAGCTGTGTGGGTGGCTCCCCACCCTGAGTTCCTTGGCCCCAGTGGCCACTGAGATTGACAAAAGTCAGAGTGCCCCTCCACCAACTTTGGCCATGACCCTGGTAATTGTATGTCTGAGGCGAGCACCATAGCCGGGGCTTGATACACGGGGGTCAGCAGCTGCAGGATTTAGGGGCTCACAGGACTGAGGAGAGAATGGCTTTTGCAAGATCCTGACCCTCCGGCTGAGATGAGGACATCAGAGCCAGAGTTGAGGGACCTGCATCAGGAGGGAATATCCCAGGGGATGTCCAAAGGGGACTCTGATATGTCTGCTTCCAGCTGCTTTGTCATCATCACCATCTTCATCCTCACCCTTTAACAGGTATTGGGTACTGTCTGCGGGCAGGCACCATGCTGAGTGTGCCACAGGCATTACCCCTTCAATCCTCACAGCCTATCATCAATCCTATGGGGCAGAAACTATTATTAGTCCCACTTTATAGCTGAGGAAATTGAGGCCCAGAGAAGATCAGTAACTTTTCCCAGGATATTCACAAGTTGTGGATCCAGAATCTGAGCCCAGGACATCTGACTCCAGAGCTCTGCACTTAACCTTCACGAGATGCTGCCTGCCCACTGATAACAATAGCTGGAATTTCTTGGGCACTTCCTACGGGCTTGGTCTTTCACACATATTGTTTTTAAGCTGCACTACAATCCTCTGACGCAGGGACCTGTATGGGCCCCATTTTGCAGATGAGAAAACTGAGGCAGCTCAGAGAGGTGAAAGGCCTTGGCCAGGGTCACAGAGGCCAGAGGTGCCAAGCTCAAGCCCAGGCCTGTCTGAATCCCACAGATAAGAACGTTGGCTTGGGGAATGTCCCTACACCCTGCCCAATCCAATCTCATTTTACAAATGGCAAAACTGAGACCCAAAGGGGAGCAGGGGCTTGACAAAATCACACAGTAGGTTGTTGGCAGGACTGGGACCCAGGTCTCCATAGAATCTCACAAATAGTTCCCATTTTACAGATGGGGCAACAGAGGCATGGAAAAATAAATGGCACATGGAAGGCTAAAGGAAGAGCCGGTTGGTGCACAGGCATTCCTGAGACTCCCTCTCCTCCTCACCAGATCCCCCAAGTCCTTCCTTTTGGGGTGGGGGCTCTTGGCTACAGCCAGCGTGACTCTGGGCCTATCTCTCCACAGGTTCAGATTTTCTACCACTCCAGCTGTGAGTCTTTGCCCCTGGCCTATGCGGTGCTCTATCTCACCTGTGTTGGTAAGTTGGGGGCCATGCTGAGGTTGTGGCCAAGGGGCCCCAGCCAAGGTCAGGGGTGGTGGTGAGAAATGACACTGAACAAGGGTCTTAAAAAAATTAATGTTATTTTAAAAATTAAAGTAGAAAGTGCACATTTAAAAAAATTCAAACAGTTCAAAAATGTATACAAAACCTCCCTCCCCCCAACCCAAGACTTCCAGTTCCCCAAATCCAGAATCCTTCTAGAAATATGCTGTGCTCATACAAGCAGACACACATATACCTGATATCTCCCTTTTTGTAAACAAATGGAAGCATACAGTAGACATGGAACTGAACCTTGCTTTTCACTACTTGAATTTTTTCTAGTAATTGTCCACAAATTGGTATATAAACTCCATGCAAGATGACTCAGATGTCAGAATCATCAGACAGGGAGTGTAAAGTAACCATGATTAATATATTAAAGGCTTTAGAAGAAAAGGTGGGCAACATACATGAACGGATGGGGAATTTCAGCAGAGATGAAAACTATAAGAAAGAGGAAAATGTAAGTGCTAGAAATAAAAATCATAGAAACAGAGATGAGAAATGCTGTTGATGGCTTCATCAACAGACTCAACATAGTTGAAGAAAGAATTGGTGAACTTGAAGATTGGTCAAAAGAAGTTACCGAAGCTGAAACAGAAAGAGAGAGAGAAAAAAAAGGTGAAACAAACAAACAAAATAGTGATCCAAGAGTGCTGGGAAGTATCAGATGGTCTAAACTCAATAAAATCTCCATCAAAATCCCAACGTGGCTTTTTAATAGAATTTTGGAGTGCTGATCTAATACTCATATGGAAGAGAAAAAGGCAAGAGTAGCCAAGATAATTTTGAGAAAGAACAAGGTGAAGGGATTCACAGTCCCAGACATCAAGATTCTTTTTCAAGCGCTGATCTAATACTCACATGGAAGAGAAAAAGGCAAGAGTAGCCAAGACAATTTTGAGAAAGAACAAGGTGAAGGGATTCACAGTCCCAGACATCAAGATTCTTTTTCAAGCTACAGTACTTGAGTCAGTATGAAATTGGTGCAAGGTTAAATATACAGACCAGTGGAACAAGTAGAGAACCCGGAGACAGACTCACGCTTATGTGGTTATCACATGGGAACAAATGAACTTGGATCCCTACCTCACACCATACTCAAAAATAAATTTCAGATGGGTTAAAAATCTGAAGGTGAAAATCAAACTATTGAAACTTTTAGGAAAGGATATCTTTGTAACCCCAAAGTAGTAAAGGTTTTCTTTAACAAGGCAAAACAAATACACAGACAATAAGGAGGAAGATGGATAAATTAGACTGTATTAACATTTACAACTTCTACACAACAGAGGACAAGTAAAAAGTCAAACTCTAGATTGGCAGAAAAAACTTGCAATGTATATGGCTCATTTGGTGCACATAGAACATGGAGAACACTGATCAATAAGAAAAAGAGAAACAAATGAATAGAAATGGGCAAAAATACGAATAAGCAATTCACAGAAGAGAAAGTCCCAGTGATCAAAATCCAAATAAAAAGATGCTTCACTGACTTAGTGCTGCCGAGGACGTGGAGCTGGGGAACTCCTTACATAGGAGTGAATGGGAGTTTGCATTGCTACAGCAAGAAAACTGAGAATGCTTTATCTGTAGGATGCATTTGTAGAAGCAGAACTTCTGGGTTATAGAGCACCTATATTTTAAATTTTCATAGACATCACCTAATTGCTCTGCAGAAAGACCATACCGTTATGTACGCCTGCCAGCGGCATGTGGGAGTGCCCCGCCAACACTGCGCATTGTCAACTTTTCCCATTATGCCAGTCTGAGAGGTCGGCACCTCACTGTTGCTTTAATTTGCCTTTCTTTAGTTAAGAGTGCGGTTGGGCATTCACCCTCCATGCCCCCAGCATCTTCCCCCACATGTTCATTGGCAAATACACAGAAAAGTGCATAAAGCTTTATATATATATACATATATTATACACACACATTAATGAAAAATTACAAAGCAAACACTGGCACAGTCATCGCTCATGTCAAGAAATAGAACATGACCTGCACCCCACAGCCCCCCAACCCCATGCCCCTCTCTGATCATAACTCCCTCCATCCCCTACAGGTGACCACTGTCTTGTGATGAGTATTTTCTTGCTTTTCCTTATGGTTTTATCACCCAAATATGCATACCCAAATAACACAGCCTCGTTTTATCTGTCTTTGATTTTCTACGGCTGGAATCCTATCATACATCCTCTTTTACGTTGGGCTGCTTTTTCCCCACATTACGTTTCTGAGGTTTATCCATTTGCTGCACGGTGATTGGGTATCTTTGCACGTGTTTAAGAATCATTTCAAATTCATTCTTTCTTCCTCCTTTCCACCCTTCCTCCCTCCTTCAGTCCTTCCCTCTCCCTCTTTCTTCACTAAGAACCAAGAGGACTTTTTTTCAGTGCAGAAAGATTGATTCTGACCCCTTGAATGCTCCATTTGTATTGTGAGATCTCCCCCAGCTTCCAGGGAGAAAACGTTAAGACAGTGGGGTGGGGGTAGGATCTGGGGGTGTGAGAATCTGATGAAGCTGAGGCTTGGAGAGGCCCACACAGCTGGATTCACAGCCACATGTCTGTCTTTGACACCAAAGTCCAGGCTCGCCGCCCCATCCCAAGGAGATGAAGGAGCTTCATACAGATCAAGAGGGTCCTGGGTGACCCCGGCTCTGTGCAGGGGGTGCCCCAGACAGGATTGATGCAGGGATGCAGAAGAGGGAGGGGTCAAGGAAGGCTTCCTGCAGGGGACAGCCTTTGGCCTGGGCCTTTGCTCTGACCCTGCTTCTGCCCTAAGGCCTCTCTTCCCAGCCCCATCTGGAGGGAGGCTCCGGATGCCTGCACCCCTGGATTGTGCCTTCTTGGAAATGACTTACATTTGCCCAGCCCCAGACAGGCCCTCAGATCAGGTTCCTGGGAACCTGGTGGTGACTTCCACACTGCCTCCCCCTTGCAGACATCGCTCTGGACTGTGACCTGAACTGTGAGGGCAGGCAGGACAGGAACTTCGTGGACAAGGTAGGTATCTCCACCTTGGCTCAGAAAAGGGAGTGGGGTTTGGAGCTGCTGTAGATGGGATTAAGAGCGGTGAGGCCTTTACAGGTATCTCTTTCCTCCCAGCTGATTCACTGGGGCCAAACGGGAACCTGGCATGACTGGGAATCTTCTTTCAGAAGGAGGAAAATTATCACCATGAATTATCAGGCATAGATGTGCTTAGCCTTGGGCTAGTCCTTTGTTTGGGGAAAGGACTTATAATCTCAGATAGGGGTTGGTAAACTTTATATAAAAGCCAGATAATAAATATTTTAGGCTTTGTGGGCCATACTGTCTCTGTTGCCACTACTCAATTCTGCCCTTGTAGTGTCGAAGCAGCCACAGTCAATACATAAACTGATGGATGAGACTGTGTTCCAATAAAACTTTATTGACAAAAACAGATGGTGGGCGGGAGTTGGTTCGTAGGCCCTAATGTGCTGACCCCCTGATCTAGGTGAAAAGGGGAATCTACCAAGTATGAAACTATTAAAGAACGATGGACTTTGGACCTTCAGAGCAGGAGGGAGGGCATTCCAGGTGGAGGAAACGGCAGGCGCAAAGGCAAGGAGGCAGGACAGAGGAGAGTGGCGTGAGGTGCATGGGTGCAATCAGGAAGTTGCCCATCGAGAAAGAGGACATTGGCTGGAGGCACATCATAGACAACTCTGTGCTTTGGACTTGGTGGTGCTGGCAACAGGGAACCATTGCTGTTTCTTGAGCAGGAGGTGTTTCAATGAAACTGAATGGAGTAGGGTGAAGGGTTAGGAGGCTGGTCCGGAGGTTGCTGGGGAGGGAAGCGCAGGTCTGGTCTGAGCCCCCGTCACCAGCTGTGTTTTGCCATTGGCAGCGGCAGTGGGTCTGGGGGCCCAGTGGGTATGGAGCCATCTTACTGGTGAACTGTGATCGGGATGATCTGAGCTGCGATGACCAAGACAACTGTGACCAGCATGTGCGCTGCCTGCAAGGTGAGGGGGCCAGGGCAGCCCGGGTCCCTGGGTGTCCAGGGTCACTGTTCAGTTACCCTGCTGGAGTTCCAACGCATGGACAGGGCTCTGACGGCAGAGCTCAGGGCCAGAGTTCCAGCCCCCAGACATACCTTGTTGTTTCTCAAAACCTATCTCAGGTTGGCCACTGCCCCTCCTCAGTGTCCCCAGTGCCATCGGGCACTCCAGGGCAGAAACTCTGGAAATGAGCTGCCTCACCATTCTGTTCCTCCAGGGGAGTGGAGGGAGCTAACATTATCTGAGCACCTACCGTGTGCCAGGCCCTTTCCCCAAAGTCTCATTTAATCATCTAAATGGGAGGGTATCCTTGCCCCAATTTAGCGATGAGGATACTGAAGCTCAGAGGTCAGGAGGCTCCCCAAAGTCGCACAGCCAGTCTGTGGCTGATTCAAGGCTTCCTCTTCCAACCCCCAAATCTGGGCCTCCTCCTGCTGTACCTCTGGCCTGAGTTTCTGTGATGCTCTCCCCCAACTTCTGCTAAGTCCATCTGCACCGCAGATGACAGCCCCGTGAAGAATGAGCAGCTGTACCTGGAGGGGTGTGCCACAGGAGATGCTCACGGCCACCTTGCAAAGGGGACACAATTTGGAGATAGGAGCACTGAGGCTCTGGAAGGGAGGGGCTTGCCCATTGTCACAGCGAGTGAAGCTGGGACAGAGACTAGACCCCTCACCTGCGTGACACCCGGGTGGCCTTCGCACTCCACACACACCTCTCGAGTCCCTGTCATGTGCCAGGCACTGGGATGGCCACTCCACGCCTCATGCTTCTCTGGCAGATGAGGAAACATGAGCCTAGGAAGCAGCTCAACATGTCACACATGTGCTTTTGTCTTTGTGGTTAGCTCTAGATGGTTTCTGGTGTGTTCACAGAGCTGGGGCTGGGTCTTGATACCAACTGCTGTGGGCAGGGGGCTGGGCTGGATAAGAAGGAGGTGCCAGGACTCCTCTGAGTCACCGCCCCTCTGTCTGGCTTCACAGACCTGGAAGACATGTCTGTCATGATCCTGCGGACCCAGGGCCCCACAGCCTTCTTTGATGACCACAAACTTGTCCTCCACACCTCCAGCTATGATGCCAAGCGGACACAGGTCTTCCATGCCTGTGGTGAGTTCATGCCATCCCCTGTAGCAGCCTGCACCCTGGTGCCACTGGAAAGGCTCTCCTTGGGCTCCGGGAGATGCCTTGGGGGGTCACAGTAAGAACAGTCAGAGGTGGGAGCTTCAGAACTGATCCGCTGGTGTCCCCAGCACAGCACCTGGCCTGAGGTCTTCTATTGGAAGAATGAATTTTAAAAATGTATTTTAAGGATGTTTAGAAATTCTTATTATTAAAAATTTTAAATATACACAAAGTCTTGAACCCCTGTACACCTATCACTCAGATTCAACAATTATTAGTATTTTATTTGTCTTCCTCTTTATCCCTTTCTGTTTGCTGCAGTATTATAAGGCCAATCCCAGACACCGTGGATTTCACCCCCACATGATTCAGTTAGCATCTCCCCCCCCAAAAAAAATATGGCCATCGTTTTAATTTGCCACCATGTCATAATTGCCACAAATACAAATAAGCATCTAAATACCTTTGAAAAATGAAATCATATGCAAGTGATAAAATACTCTTTTTATTGAAACATAGTTGATTGTACATCTCTGTTGGGTACAGTGTTGAATATCAATACTTGTATGCAACATGTGATGCTCAAATCAGGATAATTAGTATATTCAACCTTTCACATTGTAATTATTTTTGTGTCCTTTTAGCAATTTAAGATGCTCATTTTTAAAATGACTAAACAATACAGAAGTATAGAAAGTAAAACATGAGAATCCTCTACCTCTACACCTAAATCTGACTCTGAAAAACGTGTTCACTATTAACGATTTAGTACGTGCTCTTCCTGAGTTTTTCTACATGCACTCAAGTGTGTGTGTGTGTGTGTGTGTGTGTGTGTGTGTGTACACGTTCTACTTTCTGACCTGTTTCTTTCACTGGATAATATATCCTACACTTCTTTCTGTGTATTTATTTAGCTCTGCTTTATTCTTTTCTGCAGCTGCATAATATTCCAAGGCTTGAAGGTATTGGAACTTATCTGGTTCCCTGAACATACAGTTGTTTATGGTGTTTTGATTTTACAATGACATCAGTTCCTTGAGGGCAGAGACCTTGGTCACAGCTGTATCCCAAGCCCAGAACCATGCCCTGCAGGTGCACTGTAGGTGCTCAGTAAACATTAGTTCAGTGAATGAAGAGCCAGAGAATACTCTTGTACAGATATTTATGTAAATGTACACATGTATTTTTGTAGGAAAGATATCTAGAAGTGGAGCTGGTGGGTTAGGAGTAAACATTACTTTGTCGGATGCCACCCAATTGCCCTCCAAAAAGGCTTGCACCCCAGTCTTGGAAAGGAACGCCCTCTCCCCAGCCGTGCCCACACTGGCTGTTACACAGCCTTCTCTCCTTTGCCAGTGGGAGGTGGGAGGTAGAGTTGTCAGACCTGCACTTTTTGGTGAAAGTATGCAGCTCTCCCTGCACCCCTCATGCTCCCTGGGCCTGCCCAGGATTCACAGTCACCCCTCCGCTCCCCTCCCAGGTCCAGAAGACTCGTGTGAGACTTACAGGCACGTGCTTGGCCAGGACAAGGTGTCATACGAGGTACCCCGTTTCCATGGGGATGAGGAGCGTTTCTTCGTGGAAGGCCTCTCCTTCCCCGATGCTGGCTTCACGGGGCTGGTCTCCTTCCACGTCACTCTGCTGGATGACTCCAATGAGGTAGGGAGTGACCAGGGCAGAGAGGATAAAAAATGGCTCCATTCCTGGTAGACGGGGCACTGCTGGTGTGAAAGACTCCAGACTCTGGACCACTCCAGTAACTAAGACACAGAGAAGCAAGGAGCTTTCCTAAGGACCACGGTGGTGGAACCAGAGCTCCCTCCCAGAACCCCGGACTCCACGTCCAGTGCTCTTTCCCTTCCGGCCCTCCCCTGCAGGATTTCTCCCAATCCCCGATCTTCACCGACACCGTGGTGTTCCGTGTGGCACCCTGGATCATGACGCCCAGCACCCTGCTGCCCCTGGAGGTGTACGTGTGCCGGTGAGTCTGGGGGCGGTGGGTGTCCTCACCATGGTGACTCCTCTGGCCTCAGGCCCTGTTCCTGTCCTCAGCCGCTCTCCCCGGGCTTGTCCACAGGGTGCAGAACAACACGTGTTTTGTGGATGCAGTGGCAAAGCTGGCCAGGAAGGCAGGCTGCAAGCTGACCATCTGCCCACAGGCCGAGAACCGTAATGACCGCTGGATCCAGGTAACTGCGGTCACTGGGCAGGGCCAGCCAGGACACCATCCTGGAGGGAGGGGCTGGCCTGCCCTAATCAGGGGACTGCCAAGAAATATCCAGGAGGACCTGAGTGCTCCCCAGGGTACCTACTGCTCTTTCTGGTTCAAGACCTAGAGACTTCTCTCCAGAACTTTCTGGAGACCCAGGCATATATTGATGCTGGATTCAATGACCATTTACCCACCAGATCTAGGCTAGGCACTGGGCTGGGCCTGAAGGGGATGGCAGAGGTGCGGGGCACACACTCCCTGCCCTCTACAGCCGAGACCAGTGGTTCTCAACAAGAGGTGATTTTGTTCCCTAAGGGACATTTGGAAGTATCTGGAGACGTTCATGGTTGTCACACTGGGGCTGGTGGTGCTACCGACCTCTAGTGGGTAGAGTCCAGGGATGCCACTAAGCCTCCTACAAGGCACAGGACTAACCCCCACAAGAAGGAATGTTCCAGTCCAGCAGGCCAGTAGTACTGAGGCTGAGGAGCCCCAGTGTGCATGACTGGGACAAAAATCCCCACTCCTGCAATCTAAGATGTAGTGGGGGTGCAGCAGGCACCAACGGGGTTAGGAGGAGACGGCATCGCCTCTGCCAGGGGATCAGTGAAGCCCTCTGGGAGGAGGGGCATCTGAGCTGGGCCAGATACAGCAGATGGGTGGGTAATGACTCCTGCCTTCTATCAAGTGTTTGCTGTAGGCCATGTGTAGTGTGGCTTCCTCTCCTGACACCCCCCTGCAATTACCCCCGTAATTATTAAGGAGCTCTCAGGGAAGCACAGGCCTAGACCACAGAGCTGGTCAGGGCAGTGCTGGGACTCAGGCTCCCCGCCCCCACCCAGGCTGCACAGGATGGGGGTCCTGACAGAGGACCAGCATGTGCCAAGGCCCAGAGAGGGGAGGCATGAGAGAGAGCGAAGCTCGTGTGTTCTCTTGGGCCAGGGCAATGGTTCTGTGAAGGGCAAGAGTTGCGGTGTGGAGCCTTGAATGCCAAACTCGGGAGCTTTTGTTTCAGTGGGAGGTTAATTCAGTTAGGGGGGTCGGAGCAGGACTCTGGAGTGAGATGGGCTGGGTTTGGGTCCTGGCTGTGCTGCTGACTAGCTGTGTGCCCTCGGACAAATAATTAGACGTTTCAGTTCCCCATTTTTCTCATCTGTCACATGGAGTAATTACAGAGCTTCTGCATAGGCGTGTTGTGAGCATTCATGGAGCTAATAACTATAAAGAGCTAAGGGCAGGGCCAGCGATGCTGGGCCATCTTTGCCTCCAGAGCCAGAGGGGTCAGGACTGACCTAGGCACATTTATGGGTCTGAGGATGAGGCACATTTGTACCCCCTGGGGTACCCCTGTCCCTGTTTAACTGTCAACACCTTATGATATGTGTAGGCCACAGGTGCTGGCTGGTGCCCAGCAGCTTTTGTCCAACTTAGGCCACACCGAAGCCCTCTCTGTATCTACACTGCCCTGGCACAGCACGGGGACACCTCCAAGGTCATGTCCATGTTCTCGTTTGCTCCCAGCCTCTGTCTTGCTGTGTGACCCTAGGCAAGTGCATTCCTTCTCTGAGCCTCCAGCACCCCCTCCAGTTAGCAGGACTGACTGTCCCGATCGCTGTCCTTTCCACCATCAAGGGCAAAACAGGCCTGAGCCAGAGAACTCACATGAGGAATCTGCCCCAAAGTGCTCAGAGCTGAGCAAGCGGGGAAAGCTGTGGACTGTCCACAGCTCGGTGTCTCTCTCCTCATTTGCAGGATGAGATGGAGCTGGGCTATGTCCAGGCCCCACACAAGACCTTCCCGGTGGTCTTTGACTCCCCAAGGAATGGGGAGCTGCAGGACTTCCCTTACAAAAGAATCCTGGTGAGTGGTCCCAACCGCAGCCCAGCCCTGACAGCCGAGGGCCACTATTCCGAGGGCCACACCAGGGTGTGGAGTACAGGCGGCAGCACCAGGAACCTCATTGTTTGGGGTAAGGGTCTTTTAGGGTTGCCAGATAAAATACAGGAGATGCCCAGTTAAATATGAATTTCAGATAAGCAACTAGTAACTTTCTGATATAAGTATGTCCCAAAATATTGCATGGGACGTACTTATACTAAAAGAAAAAAATTCTTGTTTATCTGAAATTCAGATTTAACTGGGCATCTAGTATTTTTGTTCACTAAATCTGGCAGCCTGGGATGTGGGAGGCAGGATGATGCAGCTGTTAGGAACATAGGCTTGAGTCAGAACACCCCAGCTCTGTCACTCACATGCAGTGTGACGTTGTCTGAGTTGCTTCCCTTCTCTCAGGCTCACTATCCTCATTAGTAAAAATGATATGTTAGCCCCAGCCTCACAGGTGTTTGTGAAGCTTTTCATTGTCGCAATGCCAGCATGCAGGGAGCATGCAGCACTTTTAGCTGGTGTTACTGCTGGTAATGAAAAGGATAATGGCGAAGATGATGGTGGCCGACCAGGACCCCTGGAGGAAAGAAGGGAGACCTGTTGGGTGCCATAGAGAACAGGAAACCCCTCTTACCCACCACTGGATCACACAGGTGTCAGGAGCTCTCACCTGGCCCTCGATGTTAAGTTCCTTCTGAGACATGACACTGGAGAGGTCCCCTTTTCCAGAGTGTAGACTGAGGCTCAGAGAATCATCACCAGCCTCTGGGTTCCCAGGGACAGTCCACTTGGGCTGATAGTTGCCCTTGGGCTGGACTTGCCAGGAAGGCCGTGCAGGGTAAGGGGGTAGCTGTGACCTTGGGCTCCAGGTCTGATAGGGAGTGCAGGAGCAACCAGAGCCTTCCTGTGACTAGGGGAATTACACTGTCCCGAAAGGCAGCAGGGCAGAGGGTCCCAGTGTTCCCCAACTTTGGCTTTTATGCATGATAAAGTATTGACGAGGTCAGATCTCTGTCGTTGACTCAGTATTTCCATCTGAAGAAGGGGTAGCCACTCCCTCCCTGTCTCTAAGGAGCTCAGAACCCAGCAAGTTGGTTCCAAGTTTTTCTGGTGCTCCTGCCCCTGCCTGACTTGGTTTCCCCCACCAGGGTCCAGATTTTGGCTATGTGACTCGGGAACCACGAGACAGGTCTGTGAGCGGCCTGGACTCCTTCGGGAACCTGGAAGTCAGCCCCCCGGTGGTGGCTAATGGAAAAGAGTACCCCCTGGGGAGGATCCTGATTGGGGGCAACCTGCCCGGGTGAGAGAGGGCAGAAGGAGGACTTCCTACGGGGCAGACTGCGGGTGGGGTCAGTGACGATCGCGGGGAGTGGGGAGGGACCATGCCACCCTTGAAGAGAACCAGAAGGAAGGAGGGATGAAACTGTAGTCCTAGATGTGGTGGGGGGGGGGGGCTGTTCACCAGACACTGTCCACATTACGTTGGAAAGTTTGGGAAGGCTGGAGCAAGCAGTGACCTAAGAGATCATTCAGTCTAACCCTTTTATATTACAAGTGGGCCCAGGGAGAGTAAATGAGTCACACAGAAGGCAAATTTATCATTAGACTCGGATCTTCTGATTCTGAAAATACGTAGATGATGTTAATAACAGAGTCTATCAGTTAATAGTAATAGAAAAAAAAGTGTCAATTCTCAATAGTTCTGGGAGAAAATGCATTTAAGTCAAAGCTTGTTCATACTATAATGTAAATGACTACTATCAGATCTTCTCCTGAGTGCAGGAGAAGGGAGGTATAGAACGTGAAAAGCAACACAGAGTGAGAGTAGCAAATTATATGTTATTCAGCATGTAACACAGGAGTGCTGATGGAAAGAAAAGAGTTATCTCGTAATGGTTATTTGCTATGGAATAGACCAAGACATTGAGCCGACCAAATTCAGCAGAGCTGTTGGAACAGACATGGAATCAAATGATAGATGACTCCAGAGGGGACTAACCGCCCTCAAATACATGATCCCGCAGAAGGAGGAAGTTTGGGCCATGCCATTAGATACTTTTTCAGAAGGCAAAAAGAATGGTGTTTAAATTCATAATCATAAAATGCTGGGACTGTGAGGCCTCTCGGGGTGATCTTGTCACCTCTCTCCCCACTGAGTCCAGGAAGGTGAGGCTGCAGCAAGAGAGATGTAAGTTAAACTCAAGGAAGAACCGCCCGGCTATGGGGGACTGAATATGGCGGCGATATTGGTCTCGTGGGGAAATGTGAGAGCAGGGTCTGGCATGGTTCTGATGTGCCTGGATAGTGAGACCTAGAGGGTCACTGCCCACATGTGATTGACCTGTGCTGAGGCTGCCTCATCCAGAACACACCTTGAGTGGAATTTTAAATACATGTTTATTGTCTTTCTTGCTCATGTTTTTTTAAAAAATCAGATATTGCAGAAACCTTAAACTGTTGTCATCCCATTTATGCGTGGTATTTTTTTTTAAGTTAAGCACCTTTTTTTTTTTTAACCCCATGGGCCCCAGGTCGAGTGGCCGCAGGGTCACCCAGGTAGTGCGAGACTTCCTCCATGCCCAGAAGGTGCAACCCCCGGTGGAGCTCTTTGTGGACTGGTTGGCCGTGGGACACGTGGATGAGTTTCTGAGCTTCGTCCCTGCCCCCGATAGGAAGGTAAGGATGGGTGACATGCCTTTCCCTGGCATCTGGGGCAGAGGCTGAGCTCTGGGGGCCACGCTGAGGCAAAGAGCTCAGCCAAGTCTGTTCTCTGCACACAGGGCTTCCGGATGCTCCTGGCCAGCCCTGGTGCTTGCTTCAAGCTCTTCCAGGAAAAGCGGAAGTGGGGCCACGGCAGGGCCCTCCTGTTCCAGGGAGTTGTTGGTGGGTAACATCACCATGTCCTTCATCACAGCTTGCCTGCCCCCTCACCTAAATTAAGACACACCATGGCTTGGGCCGGCCTGGTGGCACACTGCTACAGTGCGCCGCTTGGGAGTGCGGCGGCGCTCCCGCCGAGGGTTTGGATCCCACATACAGACCGGTTCCCGCTCACTGGCTGAGCGAGGTGCGGGCGCAACACCGAGGGTTGTGATCCCGTTGCCGGTCCCAGTCTGGTACGGGCGCGAAACTGAGGGTTGCGATCCGTTGCTGGTCCCGAAAAAAAGACAAAAAGGAAAAAAAAAAAAGACACACCATGGCTTGGGCCGGCCTGGTGGCACACTGCTACAGTGCGCCGCTTGGGAGTGCGGCGGCGCTCCCGCCGAGGGTTTGGATCCCACATACAGACCGGTTCCCGCTCACTGGCTGAGCGAGGTGCGGGCGCAACACCGAGGGTTGTGATCCCGTTGCCGGTCCCAGTCTGGTACGGGCGCAACACCGAGGGTTGTGATCCCGTTGCCGGTCCCAGTCTGGTACGGGCGCGAAACTGAGGGTTGCGATCCGTTGCTGGTCCCGAAAAAAAGACAAAAAGGAAAAAAAAAAAAGACACACCATGGCTTGAGGGAGGGATTGCAAATTTTAAAGCGGGGCTGTCCCCGCAAACTTGGGACACCTTACGCCTGCCACAGCAGGCCTTGCTTCACCAGCCACCACTGCCCATGGTTGGGGCAGACTGGGGCAGGCAGCAGGGTGGTAGGTGTGGACAGAGTGAGGACGTGGCCAGCTTCTTGGGCATATGACCAGTGCATTTGCACCAGGACCTCTGCTCAGAAGGGCCTGGAGCTTGGGTTTAATGTTCTGCACTGTTCAGTCACTGTCTTGAAATGTGAGTAATTCGTGTTTTGTGAGTGAAGTCTGATGGATCACTGGAGCATCTCCTGGGGGCTTGGAGCCTCTGCTCATGAACAGTCCTGCCTCGCGCCGCCTCCCTGCCTCCCTGGGATGGGTTCTCTGCAGCCCACTCCAGCCCCTCTGTAGGCTCCCTGCCAGGCCTCCCCCTACCTGTCACTGTCCAGCGACGCTACAACACTCTGTCCCCAGTGGGACCCTGGTGTGGGGAAGGTTGGGGTTGGGCGCACGTGCCCCTCAGCATCTCAGGATGGGTGTGGTGTCAGTTGCCCCCACTCTGCAGGGACACCCCTGCTCTGGCATCCAGCATCCAGGTACATAGGCTGCAGTACCCTGGAGAGCACCCATTCCCACAGCTTAGGGTGGCGGCCAGTGGTTAGGAGAGATGCCTGCCTCGATGGGCCCGCCCCACGCCAGGGCACAGCACATGGGTTTCACGTTTGTACGCACGCGCCAAGTTGTGGGCGGGGTGCCAGGGGCCTGTGAGGGTCTGCAATGCCTCACTCGTGTCCCCCAACCCCAGGAAAGGTGACATCAGATAGCAAAAACAAACAAACAA